CTTTGTTGAAGTAAACATATTGTCTCTTCCATCTGCTGATCCAACATCATCCGCATCATTGCTTATACTCCTGCCAGGCTGCCATCGTGATTGACTCAGGTGCAGTTGTTACTTCTGGTGCATGCTCAATCACTTGTGGCTCAGGCTGCGGGTTACCGTTTCCGAATCCGCTCCGAGTACTCACCATGTCGATCTATACACCCAAATCAGACGTTCGGTGTGTAGTGACGAGAATTTAGATATGAAACCTTTATTTACGATAGACGTATGAATCTCCTTATCTTTTCGAAAAGTTACATGTCAGTTCTAATACCGTAATTAAACGTTTAGAAATCTGAACACATAAAGTTTCCAGATCCGGTCAGCAACAGACCATAGATCCGATCAAACGATAGCATCATAAAGCATCACAATTCATTTAAAACATAAAGCAATTTAGGCATCTTTCCTAAATGAGCTAACGCTCGTGTCTATTCAGGTGTACTACCTAGAATATAATAGACACACTCCTCACGATCATCGATTAACATTCTAAGTTTAAGTCTAGAAATTTTCCTAAAATTCCTAGCTCGCTTAAACTAATGCTCTGATACCAATTGTGACATCCTCATTTTCACGGCCAGAAAAAACCGATTTGTTTATCAAAGCATTTCCGAAGAAATGTATTTTATTCATTTTAAAACTTTGGGATGTCATTGTCAATACAGAAACATAAACATAAACATAACTTACATTAATTTATACTAGTGATCTACATCTCCTTAATCTCTCGGTGTAATGTAGCTTTATATCGACACCTGTGATAAAAATAAACTGAGTAGGTCAGGTTGGGAAACTTGGTGAGTACATAGGGTTTTCAACCCACAATAATATAGTTATTATGTTTCATCATCAAACAATTAACCCATTTACCCATCCCCATTATCTTCTTTATTCTTAAGTATCTTCTCTATGAATCATCTATCCCTGATTATTTATTCCTAAGGATCGTCCTAAGGAATACGCACGAAGTCCATCGTTGCCAGGGTTTATATAACAGACACTAAGTCCATAGTTGTCAGGGTTCATCCAACAGGCGCTAAGTCCATAGCTGTCAGGGTTTATCTCATTTATTGACAATATTATTTTCGGAAGTCCACCTACAATACATGTCAATGGGTTTTAGAGTACACCGGGTGAACATATCATTCACAACACCTACAGGTTGCGAGCCTGCTAGTGTTCCATCGGACCGTCTAGAATAGTCCGTGGTTGTCATCCATACTCTGCTAGATGACGGGGCCAACACTTGGGTAAAGGTTTCTCTCATTTTTCACCTCTCACCTCTCACCCTCATCTCATGATCTATATCACCTTTTATCTCATCATCCAACTCATCTTTCATCACACACCAACTATTTCATCTACCCATGTTTTACCCAACATATTTGTAGATATAAAATACATATACAGTTCAGATCTGAAGAAAAAAAGTTTAGATCTGAAAAGAAAATACATATACAGTTCAGATTTGAAGAAAAAGTTTGATCGGAAAAGAAAATACATATACAGTTCAGATCTGAAGAAAAAGTTTAGATCTGAAAAGAAAATACATATATAGTGAAGAAAAAAAAAGTTTAAATCTTTCGTCCAGCGTAGATCTCAAGATAAACAGATAATATGCACACATAACACGAAATTTAGATAAAATACTTCATATCTATGTGTAAGATGAAAGTGACTATGCACTCACTTGATAAGGTGGTGATTCATACTTGGACAACGCTTCACTTCTTAAAAATATGATTTCTTTTGACGAAACCGGGAGGTTTGCTTGAAAAACGGGGCTCTGCGGGGGCAGAGTTTCTGAACCGAAAAACTCTTTTTCTCGGAGCCTTCGGGCGCTCTGGGGCTTTCTTCTAGTGCTAGGGACGTTTCCTAGGCTTTGGGGGGGGGGGTGTTTGGGAGGTTTAGAGAGAGAGAGAGAGAGAGAGAGAGAGAGAGTAAAGAGAGAAAGAGATAGCAAAAGGTGTGAGAAATCGGTTGGCCCTCGCACCCATTTTATAGGCCGAGGCTGCTGTCTACGCTGCGCGTACCTTCAGTGGTACGTTGGGCATTCCTCGGAACGCTGCGCGTTGGTACGTCGACGTATCGAGTTGCTGATGGTGCATCGTCGCTTCTTCCGGACCGAGCAATGCGAGACCGCGGGGCGTATAGGCTTTGTACGCGGGGCATACTTCGGTACGCGAGGCGTCCGATGGTACGCTGGGCGTAGTCCTCGCACCAACCTCGCATTTTACACCTTCGACTTCTAAAATTCGTAACTTTCGCATACGAGCTTCGTTTTCGACGTTCTTTATATCCATGCGTAGGTGGGACCGTACTCTACAACTTTTGTTTAGACTCCGTCGGCTAATTTTGAATTTATTTTTAAAGTTATATTTTTAACAGGCCGGGACAAGAAAAGTTCGTTAAAAATTCATAACTTTGTCGTCCGACGTCCGTTTTCGTCTGTCTTTTTATAGTTGAGCTCCTATTAAGGAGATCTTCGATTCTCGTTTAGGTTGTGTCGGCTAAAAATCGCTCGATCTAAAATTCGAACTCCGGGCTGCACACTGCTATGCCAAATCTTAGAAAATTCATAACTTCCTCGTACGAAGTCAGATTTTGACGTTCTTTTTATGCACACTCTCGGTTTAACGTATATTACGAATTTCATTGAGATCGCTAAGGCTAAAAAGCACTTTATCGTAAACTCACTTTTTACGTTACACATCGTCGTGCCGGTTTTGTCGCGAAACTTCGACAGACCATAACTTCTTCGTTATAACTCGGATTTCGGCGTTCTTTATAAGTCCGGAATCCTTGTCACGACTACTACAACTTTATTCATAGATATCGGGTTTATTTAAAATTTTATTTTTGACGCTTATTTTCATTTTTAATTTATTATATCTTTATAAACAAGTATATAAGCACATAAAATCACATAATATTCAAGTAATTCCTCTTTATTACATCAAATTGAGTTACAATGGTTGACCTTGACTATTACATCATTATACTAATGCGTAGCCCAGAAACACGGGCGTTACACATATGTGGATGCAAGTTTCCAAACCGATAGAGATAATTTTAGATCGCAGTCGGTTTTGTATTCATGTTTAATGGATGAGCAGTGACTTTGAGGAGTTCCAAGCAAGAGACTATAACAGACTCAACTACAAAATCAGAGTATATTGTGGCCAATGAAGCGACCAAGGAAGCAATGTGGCTGAAGAAGTTCATCAACGATTTGGGTGTTGTTCCAAGCATAACCGAACCGATTGAGATCTTCTATGATAACGAGGGTGCAGTTGCTTTAGCTAAAGAACCTCAAGATCACAAGCACACAAGACATATACAGAGAAAATTCCACTATATAAGGAAGCTAGTTGAAGACGGAGACATCATTGTGAGCAGAGTACCATCAGAAGATAATCCAGTTGATCCGCTCACCAAACCATTGTCATAGATTAAACATGATGCCCATACTAGATCTATTGAAATTAGATTTGCTAGTGAACTGGTTTAATTACACAATTTGTAGTTTGATCTTATGGAACATATTAGATATTGTTGATTTGGTTATTATTAATAATAAGTTACTATGTTTGTTCATATTATCTGTGTTTCTTCTTTTGCATGTTTAGAACCACTTCCAAAATAATATTTTATTCAAACTTCCACAATCAGTCCTACTCTTAGAAGAAAGTAATGAATTAAGATTGTCATGGAATATTGGTAAATTGTTCATAGAGGTGAACATAGCAAAGCCTTATGACCAATATTGATGAGTACTTGAAAAATAAAGATTTTAAGTATTAGAGTAACCACGTTTAAAGATTACTTCTTGGATCATGCCATAAGTAAATTAAGATGACTATATTTCTTATTCTTCAAACATAAATGCATGAGGTTTTGTTCTACAATCTATTGTATCTTGATTTTTCCCCAACATTATTCGTAACTGGCAGCCATGTAGGGTTTGACTAGATATTGCATGAGGAATAGTATTAACCTATGTAGACAAAGTTTATTTGATCCTTCTGCCAAAAAATGAAGAGGTAGATATCTTTGGTCCCCTCGTTGATTTAGTGTTGACAACAAATGTTTGGTCAAGCTGGGACTGAGTTGATAGGATTCGATAGCCGGTTAAGAAAAGTCACCACACGTCAACATCGGGAAACATAATCGATCCATGTCTCTAGTTCATAATAAGATATCATGAAGATCAAAGGAATTTGAAGTCATTAGTCTTAGGGCTATTTATAGCATTATTGCGATAAGTACAGTAGTTGCATTGGACTGACACTCACTGTTGTTCCTAATAAGTATTGGAGCGGTCAATTGTTGATGTCTAAGTGCAAGTGGGAGCTGATGGAGAATAATACCGAAAGTCATAACAAACCGATAATATTACAATAAACAGGAGTGTCCTTTTGGATTACATTTAAGAACAAAATAAAGCAGATCTGAAAATATATTTATATCAGGGACTTGTTCTTAGAAATATATTTCTAAGAACGTAACAATTATAATATATGACAAAACACTTTGTTTTGAGCAAAAAGTCTCATTTGGCACTATAAGTTTTTAGCGTTTAGTTTTAACATAACAATCCAAATCTAAAAACTATCTCACTTAGCATTTAACAAAACGCTATCAGCTACCCTCTACCCGCTAGTTTTGCAGAACACGTCCAAATAATATAATACCAAATTTGGTGCGGTAGTATATATGTAACACCAAAATTTTATTTTTTTTGTTGCATGGTTAGAACAAAATTGAACAGCAAAATGGTGTATGCCATTCGGTTGAAGTTGTCTTTACAATTACAAGCATGATCATGAAATCAAACACATTATTAACCATACTCCAATACCAGATCCAACACAGTTATTACAATATTAGTTTGGTGAACAAGCATCATCATCATCAAACACATTATTAAATTAATAGATCCAACACAATACAATATTATTTGGTAGAAATTTGATTTCGTGTCACTAATTGAAAGTCATGATTTGATGGATTGAGGTTGTTATAGCCTAGGAGACTGCGTAGCACTACTTACCTTTGAAGAATGCATCCTCTGATGCTGCTTCACCAGAGGGACTAGAGACTGCACCACATCCGCCATTAATGGCCGATAATCCGCCTCCGATTGAACACACATTGCTGCTATTGCCGCCACCTGGACAATTTCCTTCATCGAATACTGACCTTCTAAACTTGGATCCATAATCTCAATAACTTTTTCCCTATCAGTCAAACGTGGCAAAGCCTGTTTCCACAAATCAACACAACTCACAACTTATATATACCAATCTTACAGATCAAAGTCTCGCGTTGACAAGTTGCAAAAAAAAAAAAAAAAAAAAAAAAGAAACTGACCCAAGATACAAGAACAGCTTCTCCGGGAGACCTCTTCATATCAACAGGAACTCTACCAGTCAACAACTCCAGAAGGACAACACCATAACTATACACGTCTGATTTTGTGGTCAAATGCCCAGTGAGAGCATACCTTCAACAATAAATTAACCAAAAAACTTCAATAAAAAGGTACGTTTTAATATTATTATTTATTATAAATTATTATTATATATTAATTAATAATAGTTGTTAGTTGTTACTCAGGTGCAACGTATCCTTGAGTGCCCAATACGCGAGTTGAAACATGACCACCGGCTCTATAAGACCCGAGTTTGGCCAATCCAAAATCAGAAACTTTGGCATGAAAGGATTTGTCAAGAAGGATGTTGCTGCTTTTGAAATCTCTGTGAATTACAGGAGGGCTCACATGTTCGTGAAGGTACTCCAAACCTTTTGCTGCTTCGAGACCTATTCTTAATCGTGTTTCCCAATCTAAATTTGAAGGAATCGCATTAGATCCTGCAGCGATTGTTTACATCGATTTGGAATTTGGATTATGGTTTATCAGATCAAAGAAGGCGAATTCTATTTTTATAAGCAAAGCATACATCATACATACCTCTGATTGGATATAAATGTTCTTGGAGACCACCATTAGCCATAAAATCATATACCAACACCCTGTGATGACTCGCTGAACAGTAACCAATTAACCCAACTAAATATGGTGAACGCAGCCTACTCCGCATTTCCACCTGAACAATTCACAATAGAATTCAGTTTATTTCGATTTAGGGCTAAATATGCAAGAAATAGTATGTTGTTATCTGTGGTCAAACCTCCACTCTAAATTCCTCTTCTCCCTGTTTTCCAGTCTGATCCATAAGCTTCACAGCTATCTTTCTCCCATCATGAAGAACTCCTCGGTAAACTAACCCAAACCCACCCTGTCCAATTACATTCGATTTCCCAAACCCACCAGTTGCAGAAAGCAGCTGTTTAAAGGTGAAAACTTGGATTCCGTTTTCGGTAATAACTTGATTTTTTGCGTCTCCATTGCCCTTTTCGACAGAATCGATTCCTTCTGAACAGAGAAATATGTCAAATGTCATGTGGAGCATAAACAATTAACATTGGGCATCACAAAATGGAATGCATTTGCTATTGAAATTTGAAAAGTTGGAAGTCGATGCTCAAAAGACTATGGTGGGTATAACGCTGATGTGTACTAGCATACAAGTAAAAAGTACATAAACGCAAATGTAGATCTATCTATGAATTGGTCAAAATAGAAAGCGAGGAAGGATTAACCTTTTGGGTTTTTCAAGAAATTGGACACTTTGTTGCGTAAATAGCAGTAGTAGCTGAAGGAGAGGAGCAATAAAACGACTGTAAACGAAGCAAATGCCATTATTGTGAAGAGTGCTGTTCTGGCCTTGTTCTTGTAGTCGGAGTCCATCAGATTTGGTTTAGCAATAGACTAGTTTCAAGCCCTAAAACTTTCAGCGAAGACTTATTATGGTGTAGGTGAAGGTGAATAATGGGGAAGCCATTGCTGAAAGGAGAAATGGAAACTAGAAAGGACTAGAGAAGAGAAGAGCGCGGTGTCTTCAACCCTCGGTTTGCGTTGTCTACACTACTACAGTCGCGGGAAACAGAAAAGATTCTTGCAAATTCACTCTCGTGTTCCTGGCCCACTTACTTTTTTTTTAATAGTTTATTCACAATTTAATAAATGAGAAAACAACATAATGGTCTATACTCTATAGGGTTTATTATAGGTTTTTGGATTTAGTTTAAATCGTTTTCAAATTTCAAATATAGTTTTTTTTTTTAAGATTATTTGTGGTTTTGGTTTTTTTTCCTCTTCTTTTTTGAACGGCATTTGTGGTTTTGGTAACATGCATTTGTCTTCATGTTCAAATTGCTAAATCATCATTTTGTCCTTAATTTATATTTTTATTTTATTAAGTATTATTGTAAATATTAATTAATTAATATTATTATTTTGTTAAATGATGATCAAAAAATACCAAATGATTATTATAAATATAATACAAATGACTATATTTTTATATTTACCAAAATGCTCATAATTCTGACATAGACTATTTTGTAATACTTTCATATATAAAATGAATATCTGTCTATGAAAAGAGCCTAGTGGTTGAAATGCGGAATTTCACAACGTATTTTTTATGTTTAAATTTTGACACATTTAAAATATTGTTAATATTTTGCGATTAAATTCTTACATAACCATTGTGACGGATTAACATGAGTCTTTTAAATGATATGTTTATTGTTTTTTAAAATGTATATTTTTCAATTATGTCAAAAACTTATATCTTCCTTCCCACCCACATTTAATATGTGAACTATAACCGGTCTTTAAGTAAATGACATCTTTTATGATGGATCATATTCTATTTTAGTTTTTCTATACCTCGTTGTTAGATTTAGGACGAAATGTAGCATTTCATACTTTGAATGACTTTTTTTCTTTATACTTTTACATAAGAAACGTTGCTTCTGCTTCTTTGATTGATATGCTTCATGGGGTCGATCCCAATGTACTGATCTGAAGTGTTTTTGAGAAGTCGGAAATATTTATTTAAAACTTGTTCAAGTCTTTAGATTTTCATATTTTCGGACTCGCCTTGTTTGTTAAATGCAATGTAGAAATGTATCTAGTTGTTAGCATTCATATTAGTGTTTCCAGGTGTATTACAGATTAATTTTTAGCATAATTTTATAGTAGTTTAATCATGTTTTGTAAGAAGTTTCAAAATTTTACTCTCTTTGTCTTTTGCTTTAATGATACATGGTAGTAACATCGAAGCGTAAGTTACCTCGTACCAAAAAAATGTATATGAAAGTCCATTGTATAAATGGTGATTTTCACACTACTTATGACATGTAGACCTTAGTGTACTTGTGAGAAACATCACATGGGTTTAGGGTTAAATTTTGTTCTAATGGTTCCATATTTATTTCATCGGTGATAAAGGCACCAACTCATCAAGTTTGTAACATCCTAGTGTATTTCATTTAATTGGATTAAACTATTGTATTTCGTTCTATATCAATGAAAATATTTAATTTTCCTTATTCATTTATTGTGTTGCTCCTAATTTATATGATGAGTATGATGTTTGAAGTATTGTACACGTTTAGATGAATAATATGACATTGTTAACTTTGCGAACACCAAATAACATTCACTTCGATAAACATACACATTTTAGAAAATAAAATGTAAAATAACTTTAACTTTGTATTCGACTACCACTCATCATAGACTTATACTTATTTCTATTTGATGATACTGTCGTCCAAAAAGAGACTAAATATCCCCCCTAATGTTGGAACACTATTATGGTTTCATGGGCATCCAAATTGGAGTTTTTTTTAAACAACATATATATTATTAAAAATTAGCAAGAAACTAGCAAAAGAAAAACTACAAAGTCATACAAGCTAGGGTTGGATATTCAACCATTTTCTTTTTGAAACAACAAATTTAGTTTACTTCTACTACTCCTAATTCCACATGTCCTACATGATACTTAAACCCTCGACCTCTTCGAAGAGAGGAAACACTTGTAGAAGCCCTTTGATTTTTCAATCAATCAACCCAGTTCAAAGACCCTTTTTTATGCTTATTGGAAATCCGAAAAATAATCAATTATGTCATCAAACAACCTATATTTTCTCGACTTCACCTTTCCAAAAATTAAGGAATTCCAAAATTTCTGCAGTGGCCACCAAAAGTAATCATCATTGTATCGTATGCTTTTCTTGGCAAACATAACAAATACAAATTATCATCCGGAATATAGAGTCCATCAATACATTAGCGATGGTTTAACTTCCATCACTTCATCTGGATATTCCCATTCAGTGGGATATGACACATGATGCATGCCCTTCATGTATCTTAGATCTAAAATCCATGATCGTGTGACTAGATGATATACCATAATAATGTCATTTCGTACATGTATATGTCTTTTATTGTAGGTCGATGATGTCATTCTACATGTAATCAAGTAGTTCAAATGTGTTGTTTTCTAACCTATATACCTATCAATGTGCACACTTAAGCATCCTCATTTCAATCACCTACTTAGCATAAAAGGTAATAGGCTCCTAAAGTTCCTGTATAAAAGAAAATAACTTTTTCTTCATGCAATGCTAAAAATGTATTTATATTTGTAGATGTTTATATATTTACCCAAATGTATTTATATTTGTAGATGTTTATATATTTACCCTTGATATTACAATGATATTACAATATTTACCCTAATCCAATTTCCTAACTAATAACATCTAGTGAGGCACAGTGAGTACGAAATTGTATGATATAGCCTAGCAAAGCTTGTTAGAAATAAATCATTATTTACACCTTGCATGTTTTCCAAAAAAAATCATTTTTTCCTTTTTGAATATTTTCTTTCCTGAGTTTTGCTCATTAATTCATGAGCAAACATATTTTGAACTTGTCACAAAAACAAAAACCGAATAACTCACCTGAATTGAATAAGCTTTGAGTTATTTGGTTCGAGTATCAATATTTCAGGTATTTCAATTTGATTAATTGAATAACATGTATAAGATATTAAATTATACTATTTTATTTCTTTAATAGATTAATTATTTTCTAACCCAAACTTGTATATTATTTCGATTTGATTTATCTTATTTATTATATATATATATTAATTACCAAATTGGTGATGTGTGAGCTTTTACTATTCATTTCATTTTACTATGTATAGAGTCAAAATGTCTAAAATCAAATTAAGTTACATATTTTGATGCATTTAAGACAAAATATAAAATAAGTCTTTTGAAAATAAAGATTTAGTATTTGGGCATAACAAATTATATATATATATATATATATATATATATATATATATATATATATATATATATATTAATTATCAAAATTGGTATTTGAGAGGATTCACTTTTCTTTACTTTCAATTCTTTTTTCATTTTCCTCCCTTTATTTTTATTTGTTTTTATATTTTGTACCCCTAAACTAATTTTGATGTAACAATTTTTATCCTTATAATTTTAAAATTTATATATATTTATATTCTTTCTCCTTAATTAATTTTTATTTAACAGTTTTCAACCCTTATAATTTTAAAGTTAAATTATTAGTATTTTATACATTATAATTTGGTCCTTACTATATTTTAAAGTTACATTTTGACTCCTTATATAATTTTTTAATAATCTTTTTTTTTATTAATTTCTTAAAGATACACTTTCAAGTCAATTGTTTGTATCCATGTTTTATTTTGATATTTTTGTGCTCCACTTTATATGATTTAATCGTCTTCGTTGTATATATGGTGTCAAATTGCGTTTTTTAACATACCGGGGCTTCCGCAGCAACGCGCGGATGGTCCAAACCCTAGTTTCTTCTTAAATAACAAGTCGAAAGTTGAACCAAATACATTGATTTTGATAGACAACCAACTTAGCAACTTAAATGTGTTTCCAAATCTAATGTACAAAGTTCATTATTTGCACTCTTCGTTATGTCTACCTTTGTCTAGTTAATATTTATCACTGGAATTCACTTTCACAACTACTTTTATTCCTTTTATACTACTGTAATGATTTAATATCTATCATATTTGTGTATAATATGTCCATTGTTACTATAATTCTGATAACTTCTTGCTATGATATGCTTTGTTAACATTTATCACTACATTGATGACTACTTTTATTACTTTTATGTTGGAATAATGACAAAAAAAAATGTAGGGTGAACAAAAAACTATTTCAATTTCCTAGTTTGGGGATGAAATAAACATATAGAACCTCATTTGGTTTATCTAATAAACCGAACCAAATAATTTGAAAAGATATACTCCAAAAATAATTAAACCGAATATTGTTTAGTTTGGTAAAAATTAAAATTGTCGAAGACTCAATTAAATGAATCAAATAAACTAAAACCCGATTAAATTGTGATAAACCAAAATATTACTCAATGACCAAAGTTTAAGTGCGGAATAATAAACTTAACAATTGATATAAAGAATAATAATAAAAGACCAAATCATAAAGTAAATAAGCATGATGAACGAAAGATCAATATGATATATTTTAAGAAATATTGTCTTGGTTGTAACGTCCCGATTTTCAGAATAAAATTTTTATTTTTAAAATAGAGTAAACACTCATTTTTATGAAAATATATTTAAGGCAAACCATTTGTTCATAAACCATAATCCAAAATCAGAGTTATAAAGAAAAGCATCGTGAAATCTCAAATCATAAAACTGTTAATGTATGTGTACAGTCACGCATTCGACTTCCCACAATCTGATGAAGTTCCTGAAAAATATTTAATCAATAGTTGTAAGCCAAAACTTAGTGAGTTCCCCAAAATGTCATATACATCAATAAGCGTACAAGTATACAAACAAGGCTCTCGTCACCAAGACCGATCCGCCCAAAATAAGCATCGAGTATCTTGGCTCACAACACTTTAGTTGGTCTTGCAATCAACTCCTAGAGACAAGTATCTAGACTTACAAAACTTTAGTTGGTATTGTCATCAACTCCCTGACCTTCAACATTAAGTTGTTTGTCCGAGTATCTTGGCCTTCTGTACAAAG